AGAAGTTGAGCATCCAGTCCCCCATGGCTGGTGTGCTAATTACATTTGCAATTATAAACACCATAGCCTCCCCCCATACAGGGACTAGGCCAGACTCCTGGATGGGACAACCAGATGTAATCCGATTCCAGGCCACCCCACATAGCCCAGGGGACACAGGGGCCAGCTGAAGCTGATAGGCTCTTCCTGTAAGGACTGACCATGTCTATGACTATTTCCCAGTGGTGTGTTTGCTAGACTGGACTGAAATACAGCTCTACCTGGGCTTCTAGCTCATATGTACTATAAAAGAAAAAAAAGTCTCCTGATTTGTCCCTTGAAATGAAGCAAGTAGCTTCAAGGTGAACAGGCAAGATGGTTAGGTAGCCTCTGGGTTTATTGGTTTGGTTCCAGTCCACCTTCAACTTTCATCTTTTCTGGCCTCCTAGGAACTTTCTGCAGACCTGCACCCATAGTCCCCGCTGGACCTCTGTGCCCTTTAGGGCCTATGGTGATGGTGAAGAACACTAGAAGCTACGCATTTCAGCCGAGCTAGGGGGCCTTTCCCACTGGTAACGCTGAACAAGAGTCACTAGAATCTGGACAGCCCTCCCGGAGTGGGGGTTGAGGGCCGGGAGGAGGCATGGCTGGTCTAGGCAGAGCTCTTAGTCATGCACAAGAGTACCTCACAGGTCTCTTGTCAAGAATGATGGGCAGAGAACCCTGTGATGGTCAGTAGAGGAGGGGAGACCTAGAATGTGGGGTCAGATTTTACTTTGAAGGGTGGATTATGGTAGAATTAGTTCTTCTTTTAAATATGGAACCACAACGAGTTTCAATTATTTCAAGGAAGCCACTTAAAGTCCTGAGGAGGCAACTTCTAGGATGGGGTGCTGGAGATCCAACACCAAAGCATCATGCCTTAATTCTGCTGTCTGCCAAATTCTCTCTCCTTCTGCAGCTGTCTCTGTCCACAGCCACACCCTAATGCCCAGATATACTGTCTCTCAATGTATCTCACAGATCTGCTACAGTAATGCAGATCTTTGCTCAAAAGAAATAAGGTATTTTACAGAGGACTGAGAAAGGAGGCAAACTTGTTCAATGGCTATAGATTCTTTAAAAAAAATCATTTGGCAAAATGTCCAATTTCAGGAGCAGGAAGGGAAGTTACAAGACCACCCCCCCCCATAGCGGCATTAGGGCCAGGCATTCTAGGAAGCCACGAGTGCCACGAAATCTCCATCACAGCCACCAGCCTCCAGGTGCTTTTCCTCCCAAGTCCCTCTGTCCCTTTTCTCTCAGATTGAGTAGGATATTCATTGATTTCCTCACATCACATCATAGAATGAAGCCTGTTGGCAGATTGGCTTCTTTTCCTTCCTTCCTCCCTCCTTCCCTCTCTCCCTCCCCCTTCCTTCCTTCCTTCTTTCCTCCTTCATTCTTTCCTTATGTCTACTTTCCTACCTTTTAAAAAAAAATAAAGGAAGATCCATCCACTCTCCTAATTAGAGGGTAAAATAGAGGATTGTTTCTAAAATGAAAGGGGTTGGGGAAAGAATCAGTTCCAATAGGAAATTTCCAGGGATGTCAGGATTTCACTGAGCCGGAAAGGGCCTTAGCCAGGCTTGGATGGAGCCCTGCAAGGCTGACCTAATGTTTTCTCCATTTACTACCCTGGGGCTGAACAAGTCCCACTGGCTCTCCCCATCCTCTTCCACAGCCCACACCTCCAGAAGCGTGGCAGCCCCTCCGTTGGAAAACCAAGACTAATGTCCTCAACTCTGATTTATTTTAAAATGTACCATTAAAAATTAATTTCCCCCTTTGTTTTTCTCTGGGTCACTGATTCTGAATTACCATGTGGCATTTTCCTACGTGTGAACCCACACATTTTACCTTCAGGACAGCTTGCTCTTTGTTTCTGTAACAACACAAAGTGGTCATCGGATGGTGGTAAGGTAAGGCCACCCCCGCTGAGCCCCCCTGGGTTTGTGCCGGGGGGGGGGTCTCCAGCCATCCTGTCAGGGACACACTTGTACACAGGCATTCAGGGGAGCATGCTGGCTCCCACTCTGGCTGATTATATATGTACATAAAATATTGATTAGAAAGGGTAATGGAGTCACCCACAGGATTGGCTACAGAAAAAGGAAAATAAAGGAGAAAAAGTAGGAGGAGGGGTGTGTGTGTGTGTGTGTGTGTGTGTGTGTGCGCGTGTGAGTGTGGTCATTTCTGACCTGGGAAAGTGAGGATAACATGGACGCATGACAAAATATTCTGTGTGCTGGTACAAGGAGGATGGCCTGCGAGGTCTTTATCTCTGAACTCCACTCCCTGTGCCCTTGGGTGTTCTCAGGTCCCGGGAATATCAGCTAATCTGCATGGGTAAAAGCTGACTGTGCAAGGCACACGGATCCTTCACGTATATGTTCTCTGTAAAACAGTGTTACCGCAATAAACGGGTTCATCCAGTGTCTTTCCAACCAACCAAAGCATGCATTTCTCCCCCTTTGTGACTTTATCACTGATGATCCAATGCTGCCTGTCACAAAGTCCTGGGGTAGAGGTCAGAAAGATGCTTCCCATAGACACCAGCCGCTGGCCAGGATGCTCTCCTGTGCCATGCCAAATGAAAACCATCACTGGAACCCATGTCTACCCACGGTGACATTCATTAGTGCTTAGGGCTGTGCCTAGCAGACCTGAGAAATGGCACCTTACAGGGACCACATTTCAGCAGAGATGGCAGGTAGACTTTGGCTTTTCCTATGCCCCATGGAGTGAGTAGCTTTCCATCCCCCTCTCTTTCCCCCAAAGAAAACAGTGGGGAATTCAACCTACAATCAAATGATTTCACCGTGAGCCTTTCCATGGCATTCAGGACCTTGGGACTCACACCTCTTGTGTCTTCTCACACATTTTCACCTGAAACTCAAACCTTGGTTCCTGTCAGGTCCTGCAGTATCTGGTTGCTAACCCTCCCATCTCTCCTGGTCAACACAATCAAAGAATATACTTTCCCTTACACATTTCATATTGATTGACTATGACTTGAGCCAGGGACAAACGCACAAAGATTTCCAGCTCAACTGAAGAAGTCACCTCTGGAGAGAAGGAGCCTAAATAATTTAAACATCCAATATTTGTCTTCCTTGGTAATTTTATGGGAGGAAATGCCCCACAAGCACCAACCATCCCGCAGCCTCACTTTCGCCCTCCTCTGACCCCCAAGGATCCTGTGCTCCCCACTTGAGTGCTTTGTAAGGCGCTACTGCTACCCTCACCCCAACCCCTACCAGCTGGGATCAGAGTGAACCTTCAAAGAGAACGAAAAGCCACTTTCTAAGCTAATGGATTGTAATACAGGAGCCCCCCCCCCCATCCCATCTCCCAGACTAGTGCTTTCTTCCCACCCTCTGTCTAAATTCTGGACACATCTAAAGGACTCATGAAAATCCTAAAACTAGCAGAAAGGCCGGCATGGGAGGACACGATGGTCTGATCCACACGGTCTGATCCACACGGTCTGATGGTCCGATCCATGCAACTCTCGCACACAGCGTTTAGGGAAATTGCTTGAGACCCGCGTGGGCCACAGCCAGGGGAAAAAGTCGGTGTCTGGTAGGAGGGGGGCCGAAGGGGGGCGGAGAAAAGACACGTCGGAAAGCCCTCCAGGATCAGTTATTCCACAGATAGGGTTCCGTGGATCTTCCAAGGCGGCATAGGAAGAAGGAAGGGGTGCGAACATGAAAGGTGGAGAGAAAGACTGACTTAATCCGTTTAGTTTGCTTGCTTGGGAGGGGAGGGGGAGAGAAAAGGCGGAAGTACAAAAAGTTCGGCAGGGGGAAAAAATCTGTGAGTGAAAACATCGAATTTCCAGCTTACAATTTCTATCTTTTTTTTTCTTTTCTAATTAAATGTTTTCCCAAAGACCACTCTGCGCGCACGCTCGCGCGCACCCAGATGCTCCCTTCTCCTGCGCCACCCGGGACGCCCAGCGAGCTGGCGGCGACGCAGGCAGGCAGGCAGGCAGGCAGAGGATCTGGTAGGTATGACAAGCAGAGGGTATGGGACGAGGGACGCAGGTGGCCGGAGAGGTCTTGGACAGGACGCGTGGCGGGGATGGGGGAGAGGGGTGGAGAGACAGCTTCCCACGCGACTCACCGGGAATCGGATGTTCACTTCAAACTCTGTGCGTGCGCTTGGGGAGGCCAACGGAGCACAGGGACCGGGGCTGGGGTGGGGCGGAGGGGGAACGGGTGGGGGGGGGGAGAAGCCACCGCCCAGAGCCAACCCCGGGGGAACAGAGAAATCGTCTCCAGGTAACTTTGCCTCTGCCCGTAGCGCCTAGCTGGCTACCTCTACTCCTGGCTTGGACCCCGGCTTCCTGCGCGTTCTGGGTGCTGGCTGCTCGGGACAGCGCGCGCGCACGCACACACTTCGCCCCGTGGGGAGAGACCTCACGGGGAGCGCAGCCCCGACCTCCTGCCGTCCCCGACCCCCCCTCCTCCCGTGGGTGGTCCGTAGGCTCGTCTCCCCCACCGGCGGAAGGTCACTTTGGGACCCCAGAATAGATATAAAATCAAAGCAGCCGGCTTGCTTGCTGTCCCCCCGGCGGACGCGGGACAGGACACCCCGGCTGCACCTGTTCTGGGTTTTCGCCTCCCTTTCACCCCGTTTACGGAAATAGGTGGGTTTGGGGGTTGTTTTTGGCACCGCCCAGCGAGATCGGAGTGAACCGAGAAAGTGCCGCTCTCGCCTCTCCAAGTGCGGATTTATACGCGGGGGGCACGCGGGAAAAGTTAGAGGTGGTTGACTCAAACCCCGGCGGAGCCTCCCAGGAAGTGTGCCGCTCCCCCCCCGCCCCGCACTGGGTGCCCCCCTGTACCCCCCAAAGCTCCCCGACACTTCAAAAAAAATGTACGGAAGAGGAACTGCGACAGCCAGGACCGAGCCCTCGCTGGACGCGCAGAAGGACAGGCGGACAGACAGACAGACAGAGGAAGCAGGACACCTACTGGTTGTGGTAGCCGAGGGGGTCCGGGATGCAGAGTTCGGACACGTCCATCAGTCCCGGTTTAGCATTCCCAGTTGGTGGAGGCGGGCTGCGGGGGAAATCACGCGGAAGACGAGTGAAGGGCACCGGCGGCGAGGCGCGGTCCGATCCGATCCGGGCTGGGGCACGGGACCGGAGAAGGTAGAAGCCGGGGCGGAGGCAGGGGCGAGGTGCGGGGGGCAGAGGAGGCCGGGAGCCGAGCGTGCGCGCACAGCTCCGGGCTCCCACTCATCCACACTCGCAGCCAGAGAGCGAGAGCGGGCAGAGGGGGATGCGACGCGCGCGGTGGAGGAGGCTGGGGCACCCGAGACTTGGAGCCCACTAACCCTACTGTAGCTTTAAGGCTGAGAGTCTGATGTATGGTTTGGCTCCCATTGGCTATCTCGCAGGGGCTGGACTTAAAGTGACAGGATCAAGTGACAGGGGGCCAGCCTTTCAATGGAACGTGGTGCGCTGGGCTGGCTCTTGCTGACACTCAAGGTCCCTATCTCCTGAGGAGTAGGCGGACTAGATTTAAAAGACTTAAAACTTGCCCACCTGAGAGGAGAAAAGGGGGGGGACACGGGGGTGTAAGTCTCCAAGTGGCTAGTCTGTGGTTGTGGGTAGAGGGAAAGTTATGGACTACATCATCTCCACAACATCCTACCACATTTTCACTTAGCAGGCCTAGCAAACTCACCCCCTCAGCATTTTGGAATGGGCTCATTTGGTACATTTTAAATAAATCACAGTTTTCCATCCCAGCACCAAGGGGAAGCATCAAAGCCTTGTTTTGGGGTGTTGGAATTTGTGAAGGTTCAGGTGAGCACACAGGTGAGACGCAGCGACAGAGAGCAAAAGGGAAATGGATCCCCTTCCTAGCTGCTGCATCACCTGGCATATGGCTGCATCGCCTGGCATACGGCTAGGTACAGGGTGTACATCCACAAAAATGCCTCTAGATGTGTAAACAGAGGCCGGTTCACACATTCAGGACACAGGGGCTGTGCATAAACCCCCATCAGCTTAGGAAAACACAGTGGTGGTTCAAACCCTCAGCGTACCTGCCTGCCATAGCCACTCTGAGTCACAAGGAGACACTTTCAAATGTGCACCTGAATCCCCGGCTCTGAACACACCTGCATCCCTGCCCTCCACTCGCTCCCTCCAAAGCCTGAATATTACAGGCTGCCACTGCACGGAACAGAGCTATAAGTCAAGTTCTAATCCTTCTTGTGGGGCTTTTCATCTTTTGAGATGTCCCTGCCACAGGGATAATAATCAATTTGATGATTCAAATGAGTGTGGGAGGGGAACAAGTATAGAATTATTTAAAAGAGGCAGAGAAAAAGCCCTCAGGAGAGACCACCGCCTCATTCTCCTATATTCTCCAGAAGACAATGAGCAGTAGAGAGGGAAGACATAATTTCATCATCAAAATAATGTCTAAACGGTGTGTAACGGGGGGAGCACCATGCATTTGGGGAGTAAGACAGGGAACAGAGAGGGTGGTGCCAAGCCCCAGGAGGTGCCGGCTGCTTCAGGAGGGTTAGGAGAATGGGCAGCAGCCCTGCAGGTGTTTGGCTGGAACAAATGTGCCTGTGCAGGCTGGGGAAGAAGGCTGAATGGAGGAAGACATGGGAGTCTCCAGGCTGGAAGTTCACAGAGGCATCTCACCAAGAGATGGATGAAGATGTCTGGTGTGTCAGCAGACCTCCAGCAGACTCCTAACTTCTTTTATCAAACAGAGACTTCGTTAGAGGTAGGCAGAAGGATCCATAGACACTCTCCCCGAGAGCCTGGCTTCTCTATGACCCCTAGCTCTTGCTGAGAAGGACTCTGTGACTGTTTTCATCCTTTCTCTGCTCTGGAAATCCATTCTTGAAGCACATGCTGGGGGGGCAGTAAGATGTGCGCCTACCATACACGTCTACTTTCTGTAATTAGGAAGGAGGTTCCAGTCTTTAGCCTATAGGGAAATCCTCACAAGTTTCCCTAGGTCTCTGGAATCCCTCCACAACTCTACTACTCTTCCCTTAGGGCCCAATCTTTGTACCTGCCACATAGAGGCTCCCTTCCATACCGCACCACAGCCCTCTGCTATTCCCCTTGCCTTCAGGAGCTTTCTCATAATTAGCAATCATAGGTATTTTGGTGTTTGGGATGAGAGGCCCCCCCCCATTTCCTCCCCTCACCACGGCTTTCCTCACTAGACGAAGGTCAATGAAGGGAGTGATTGTTTCATCCGAACCACCAGTACCTGCAGCCTCAGGGATGGATTGTGGATGTGTGCTACCAGGCCTGGCTCACAATTTCTTTTCCTTCTTGCTATTACTAGTACTACAATTTACATATTTTCCAAGACAGAATAACTTTTGTTTCCCTGTACTGGGGATTGAATCCAGGGCTTTGCTCTTGTCAGGGAAGTGCTCTGCCTCTTGAGCTGCCTTCATCCCTCAAACACATCAGTTTTCACAGGAGACAGCACCGAGTGGAATGAAGGTGTCTCCAGAGGGTGACACCTGGAGCCCTAGGCTTAAGGACACTGGACACAAAGAAGGGAGAAGAAATCTGTGGGGGCTAGCGAGCTGGGATAATGACTCCACACAGTCCTCCTCTGCATCGAAGGCTCCAGGATGGTAGTTTTGGAGGGCCTGCTTTCTAGGCATTAGCTGATAGCCCTCTGGGCAGCAAGAAGGTCCTTGAGACCCCAGAAGGCCCTGTCCCCACTGCCCTGGACCTTCCTTTCCCTTTCTGTCCCTGGCAAGATTGAGCCTCCATACTGCTCCAGGAGAGATCAGGGCAGGGAGCCAGGACACCCTCCCCGACCCCTTCCCAAGACATAATTCAACATGGAAGCCCAAGTCTCACCTGAGACATTCCAGGCAAGTCTGGCTGGGTCCCACTGTGCACAGAACCAGCCTCTCCTTGCCCGCCCTTCAGTCAGTTCACAGAGGACAGGATTCCTTCCTAAAGCAAGGGCCAGGTTCCATGGCTCTGGCTGGAGAGACCACAGTGGGGACGATGCAGAAGACTCTGGGATCTTCTCCTCACTCATCCATGTGACCTTGCCAAGGTCATCTTTTCCCCAGAAAACAAAGGCTATGTTGGACAGAAAGTAGGTTGGCAGAGCTCTTGGCTTCTTTCAAGCTTGAAATGCATAGAGCCAATCACAATTTTATACCTTTACTGGACATCTCCAGCAATTGTTACTTGTAATCCATCCCTAGCAAAAGCTGTAAGCCATCCTTTTTATGACTTTTTGTTCTTTGGGCTACCAGGTCCAGCCCTGGAACATGGGGTTGTGAACATTGCAGAAGGTATAAGTGGACACTCACTTTGTTTACATATCACACTCCCATAACCGTACAGCTGGGAGAGGCTCTGGGAATTACAGATGGTCCTTGCCACTAATACAGTTTGACACAGATTTTTTTCTTTTGTCTTTATGATACAAGATCTCTTTCGAAGTAGCCTAGGCTGGCCTTTGACCTTGTGATTTTCCTACCTCAGCCTCCCCAGTACTGAGATTACAGGTGTGATCTACCATGACTGACTTAATATGATTTTTCATCTTTACAGTGGTACAAAAGCCACATGAATTCAGAAGAAACTGACCCTCAATCTTTTTATTGGCTTATACGAGTTATATATGGGGGGGGGAGTGTCAATGTTACTTCTCCACACATGTTTATTCTGTGATAAACCTCAAAGTCTGAGTTTTGATCTTTTCCCAGGAGAGAGAAATAGAGCACAAGACTCCCTTGCCAATGCTAGGTGGCCACATTAAGTCCCCACTCTCAGGTGGCACCCTATTGCTCACATGTTTTTAGGATAGGTGCACATCATGCATTGTCAGTTGATGATCAATTTGCAGGGGTGCATACCTAGGAGAATCTGCATTTAAATCAAGAAACGTGCATATTTCCCTGTGTGGCCAAGTGTCCTTCTCAAGGTCACATGCAAATAACAAGCAAGTATGCCATCTGTGGTCTCTGGGTTTCTACTCATTCAACTTTGAAATCTTTGTAGACAAGATTCTCTCCTTCTCCTGCCTCACTAATTGAAGCTTTTTCCTAAGGCTTGGGAGGCCTGATGCGAGCAGTCCCAGGAGCATGACTCTCCACACCCCCATCCGCCCAGTAGATAGTAAGGGCATGGGTTTCTGTGTCTGCACCCTTCTCCACATGACCTGCTGGGAGGTCAAAAGGCAGTGTGGCAGGTGGAGGCCATTTTCATGACCTCTGTTCTGTCATGAGCATTGCTCAGGTGACAGATCATCAGAAAGCACAATCACACACAGCACACCCTGCTTCTCAGGCCCGCATTTCCTTCCCTACAAAAAGCACTAAGCACAGGGCACAGGTGGCTCATGCCTGTAATCCTAGCTACTGAGGAGGCTGAGATTTGAGGCTCAACAGCCCAGGCAAGAAGATATGTGAGACTCATGTCCAATTAACCACCAGAAAACCAGAAGTGGCACTGTGGCTCAAGTGGTAGAGCACTCGCCTTGTGCTGAAGAGCTCAGGGACAGCACCCAGGCCTAGAGTTCAAGCCCCACAACCAACAAAAAGGAAAAAGTCCTGGCAAGTGTGCTAATATGTCATTAAGCAGGGCTGAACATGATGACACATACCTGTAATCACAGCTACTCAGGAGGTGGAAACTGGCCAGCCTCGAACCACAAGACTCCCCATTACCAAGACTCCCAATTCAACCAATAAGCCAGGTGTCATGGTCCACATTTATAATCTCAACCACCTAGGTGGCTGTAGATAGGAGACTCCTGTCCAAGGCTGGTCCTGGACAAAAAAATTACAACCACTCCCACACAAAAGCCTATGCAAAAAAATAATGAAAAAGCACAAAAAGGGCTGAGGACATAGCCCAAATGGTAGAGTAACTGTTTAGCAAGCACAAGGCCCTGAGTTCAAACCCTAGTGCAAAAGAAAGAAAGAAAGAAAGAAAGAAAAGAAGGAAGGAAGGAAGGAAGGAAGGAAGGAAGAAAGAAAGAAAGAAAGAAAAGAGAAAGCAAGCAGCAAGGAAGGCAGAATGGCAGGCAGGCAGGATGGATGGAAGGAAGGAAGGAAGGAAGGAAGGAAGGAAGGAAGGAAGGAAGGCAGGCAGGCAGGCAGGCAGGAAGGCAGGAAGAGCACTGAGCAGGTCATGGATCTGGCCCATCATAGGTCGATACTACCCCACCGCCTGATTCATCTCATTGCAGCCTGGCTCAGTCCTCAGAGCGGCTCTCCTAATGGCTGAACCTGAACTTGTACAGCTAAG